GGTCATGAAGGTTGAAGGCAACCCGTTTGACACTGCCCTGATGAATCTGCTGACGAATGGCTCCCCAAGTCAAATTTGCTCATGGGGATTGGGAAAGGAAAATGATAACCATATCCAGAAGCAGGCGACCCCTTGGTTGCCTTGTGCAGGCTGGCTTTAAGTTTGCGCGCCCCGCCCTCACCACCCTACAGCGCGCTAGGGGAAGGTTGTGGTGTGCCCATGCTGGGTTGTTAGGTGCATGATCATGCCTAAGGTTGATGGACGGTATATGAATATGATACATTTCAGGTTCCACGCAATGCTTGCCTGCGTTTTTAGTGTTTTGCACATGCAAAGTGTGCGACAAATGGAGTGCTGCGCTTCCCCAATGTCTTGATTGTAGGCTAGACGTGATTGTTTTTGCTTATGGCTTCAGGTGTTGACCGTTTCACTTCGCAGGGGCTTCTAGTTGGAGTGGTTCACTGTCGGTGGATCAAAGGGGAGAAGTGCACCCCAACAGGCTCGACTAATTTCATAGCGGTTCCTTTGTGTATGAGAAGACGTATGACAGTAAAGTAGGATTATTTAGGATTCATGTCAAAACGATCGACTGCTCAAAAGGTTGACAATTGCAATCATGAGGGATGATTGAAAAGTAGTTCAGGAGCAGCTCTAAGGCCAAGATACTGGGTTGAACACTAGTCAGCAGCCAAATCTGGGTTTGCCTTTGAGCCCTAGCTAACTTACAATCCGCACAGGCCTCCACATCAGTTTTGGAACATCCCTTAAGAGTGACGTGCCATTCACTTAGTGACTTTGTATTGTTATGAGACGCCGGGCGTTTGAGAAATGAAATAATAATCTCAGTAGCGCTTCGAAGAAATCTTGCATCCATCCTCTCAAAAAGCCATCTTCAAATCGAGGGAGGGTTGAAAGACAAACCCATGTTTCACGGTTTATTCTTCTGCAACTGTGTTATAATATCCCCAGAAGATCCCAGTGACTATACATGATTCTAATTAAATTTCCGGAACTCTAGAGGGTGATCCCAGTGACAACCACGTCGGTGACGTTCGAACCGCACGGAGACGTTCGGCATCACGTTCGCACGTTCGGATCTGCTCGGGGAGAGACGGTCACAGGAGACGCCTGCTGTACCACCCATCGTGGCTGGGAAGATGTTGGCGCAGAGAGAGTGAACTAAGTGGGTCTTTGCTCTCGATTTGTCGATCCATTGGGAGATGGACCATTCACGGAATGGGCAGAGCGAGCCTGGCCACGTGTTGCCTCCCCACACAGCCGAGACTCCGCAACCTCCCACCGGGTTTTAGCTCGTGGTCCACTTGGTCAATAGTCCTAAAGGAGGAGTGCCTGTACAACTGCATGCGAAGCTCAGCGTATGCGAAGCTCTTCGTGGACAAGAGCCACTTGTTAAACAAACATGTTGAGCCAATAGTTATTCCACCCACATGTTTTCCTTGTTTGCAGTTGTCCAACACATCTTGTTTGTGACAATATGCTAAGTTCATCTACCAGGCTTCTGGCGTGGGAGGGGATACCACGTGGCTACGGCCAGAAACTTAAGGCATGGATGAAATCGGATGAAACACCAAAACCCACATCGAATCCATACCCTGCTCCAAAGGATGTGGATCAACACCACTCAGTTGATCCACCCCCTTCGGATCAAATTCTGGCTTGGGTTGGTGAAGGGCTTTGCAGTCCAGAATGAAATTGCTGGACCCCACCAACTTCACACTGGGTGGCAAGAGGCTCCTCCACTTACTGAGCTCTACTCTGCTTCGTAGTGTCACTCTGTAAAGCTTTTTGGACCAGTAGAGGCTGGTTGGCCAACATCCTACCAAACCCTGCAGAATAAAGTTTCTGGCCTTCACTTGTTCATTTTAGGTAGTGGCGGGCTCCGCTCCACTTGTTCGTTTTGGGTATTGGCGGTCTTCTAGCTGTCAAGCCTTGCAAAAGTGGAGCTACTGGGGGGTGAGGAGTCCTGCAGGGGGAGTGAAGTTTCTGGCCTCAACTTTGCCCATTTTGGGTCCCGTTTGTCTCTGTAAGACAAAGGAATTGTAGAAGTTGGGGGAAAGCAGTTTAGCGGAAAGCATGAACTTGAACTTGGACGGAAGCAACCGCAAATGATAAAAACAGTTTAGCGGACGCCGTGAAGACTTGGATGCGTGGAGGCAACTGTGAAAGAAGGGGAGAACCGTTTGGCGGAAAGCATGGTCATTGGATGTGGAAGCAACTGCAAAGCAGAGGACAAGTTGGGTGGAAGCGCAACAGACAAGGGAAGACACCAACTCTTGAGAATGAGTTGCTGGGTGTCATGAGAATGACATGGGGGCCTGTCAAGGTTAATTGTGTCAACTGGGTTGGATCAAGATCACTTTGTTTGATCTGGCTTGGATCAGAGCTTTGATCCAGTCGTTGGATCGCGCGGAGCGATCCATACCAGTGTTTCTGGCCACGGGGCACACCCACATAGTGGCACAAACGCAAGAGGTAAAGACTGTAAGGTCACACTGAGGATCAAAGGCATTTTACAATATGTTACATGTCATAACTAATGAGCCACATGAAACATTGTTCTTAGCAGCATGGAATCACTTTCATTAGCGTTTACTTCTCGCGGGCTTGGAACTACTGAAAAATAGTTGCCCCTCAAACTCATGAGAGTTCTCAGAAGTGACAAAAGGTAAACTCCACCCTCTAGACCTGTACCTGAGAAAATCTATGGTGTTGGTCAGCCCCCATGCGTTCCTTCAGCTTGAAGAAGATGATCAAGCCACGGAGGGAAACTATTTGCCATGACCATCCATATACAGTATGTTTGCCCAAACCGAAGGAACAGTTGCGGGTGGCAGCAAGAGACCGCTTTCGGGCACCCGCAACCTGGAAGGTCGTGTAGCGAGCATGGTGGACATAGATCGCATAGATGCTCTTTTACATCCTTTTAGCACCCCAAGTGAACAACCAATAGGAATGTGGTACCAAATCGACCCTTCTATTGTTCCCAGAAGGACATTGCGGGACCGAAACTCTAGGTCGAACGACGTTTGCCTGAGGAATTGGCGCGCGGCGACTTTTGCTCCATCGATGGGCTGAAGGTGGGGCCCGGCTCGGGGCTCCTGGGGCTTGAAGGTGTGCTCCAGAGCAACGATGGATTTTCTCTCCTTGGTGCTGCCGTCTCATCCGAACTTGTCCAGGTTCGCAGGTTGATGTTACAATAATTCAACTGAATGTGACCCGCTCAGCATACAGCCGCAAGGTTTGGCAGGCTTCGCAATCGGGGGGCAGCGCAGGATACGTTCAATTAACTTAAGTAAGACCTCTTCAACCTGCCAAACTGAGCGTTATATGCCTTCAAAAGGCAGCCCAGTCTACAAGGAACCGTTTTCTTAACATTTCCCCAGTGTATATACAGTATGGGTCAAGACCGTTTTTCTTGATGAGAGGCCACTGTTGAAGTGACAGACGCATGATGAGAACAAAAGGCACCCATGCTCGCCTATTCCCTTTTTGTTGTCAGCAAAATGTAAAATTGTTTGATGGATTGACATGAAGTTGGTGGCCGTTCTTTAGGGAGAACCCTTCGCAGATGCTTTGTGGAAAAAGCATCGTCAGACACTGTGCCCAAAGAAACTTCTTGCTTGGTTTCATACTTTTTCCTGGGCCAGGTGTTGTTGCGCATTGTTTTGCTGTTCAACCAGCCAAGTTCTATTCCTTTTTTGGATTTCCCGAAAAAGCGAGGGGTCCAATGAAGTGTCTTCTTAAACTTTTGCAGCGGGATCAAGAAACAATTGTTCCATCCCTTTGACATGGTGGTTGCCCCATTTGACTTCTATCTTTGGGATGGACATATCAAGATCCACAATGAATGCGAGGTCGGGTCATCTCCTCCAACTTCTTAAAACGGACCGCTTCTCGACCTTTCCATTCAGCCACCGGGATCCAGCGATCGTCTGTTGATGCGTCGCCTGATGCGTCGCCTGCAACGCATTGCCCGGTCGCGTGGATGAAGATTCAAGTGCAGCAGATCAGTCCTTTGGATCTGCAGTTTTGCCTCGTCCCGCGGCGAGCGCGGCGCCTCGCGCTTCGAAGCGAAGCGCTTCGGGGGGGCATAGAGTTGGAGTAGCTGGAAAAGTAGGCGCCCGGCATGTTCTGCGCAGCTGACAAAGGGGGAACAACGGTTTCCAAAAGAATGGGAGTTTGGTAGGTGGCACATTCTATTGATTTTTGGGTTGAACCCCAGGGCGTCTCAATTAAAGGTCCTTTCATCTGGGAACAGCACAGCTAAGCTGCCCTGTCTTCAGGGGATAAAGTCAGCTATCCCTCATGATTGATCCCAAGCAACAAGAGGATAAAACATGATAAAACAACAGGTGTGTGCTCCTTTCAGATCAGTCAACCTAAGGATCCATGATGATCATTCCATCCGTGATGATGGTTGAAATTCCATAGTGGAGGTCTTCCTCTTACCCACTACAGTCTACTGCAAACAAACCAGTGGAGGTCTTCCTCTAACCCACTACTAGTCTACTGCAAGTCTACTGCAAACAAACCGTGTTCCATACAATTTGGACCACCGTATTCTACATATTCTTTTCTTTCTTTTTTTTTAGCCTCTCCACCGCCACGTCTGGATCAGCGGAATCCGCAATTCGATCACGAGAAAGGGGGGGGACGAGGGCCGGAGGGACCCTTGGGACTGGAGTTACGTTCGTAGCCGACTTAGCCTCTTGCTCAGTGAACGTCGCAGCGATGCCTCCGGAGCGTCGTTCGTTTTCGAGCGCGAGCGAACATTGCTCCGTGAACGTCGCGATGCCCTTTGTCAACTAGTAGCGTCCTGGCTACATCTTGCTACGTTCGTAGCGATGCCAGGAGCTACGGTCGTAGCTTCTTGCTCCGTTCGTAGCATCGCCCAGTCCCATGGAGTGCTTTCTTATCCCGACAGCTTTCGACTCGACCTGTTCCCCACCCGGGAGCCCCACCAAAAAGCTCCGTAACGAATGGCAGATGGCGACACATCCGTCTTCGAGCTGATGCCAGAGATGACGATGGGGGACTTCAAAGAAATGCTGAAGGCAGAGCTGTCCTCATCGAGGGAGGCTTGTTTAGACCGTAATTGAGCTTTCAACTTCTTGTGACGATCATGATGGTTGTCTTCAACGAAACAATCTTTTGCACGTTTGGTTTGCCCGTGTTTCTCTCCTTTCGTTGTTTTTCATTCGTTGGGGGTTTGCTTTATAGATAAGGGGGTCCAAATGCTTTTTCCCCACCTGTCAGGTGAGGGTTCTTAGATTTTCGGAGAAGACCCGCCTCCCCCTCTCCTCTCCTCCTCGCCTAAACAACTGCCACTCCTGGACCTCAACAGCAAGCGCCAGATCGCAGTGGGCACTCCCGGACCTCAACAGAACTGACACCAGTGACTGCCAGTGATCACTTGTATTAGAGCCTATGACAGAGGACGCACGGTAGTTCGCTAGAGCGAGCTTCTCTGCCCTCCTGCCTGTGGCTTGGAATGTATCCGGAAGCCACTGGGCACTGAAGTCAGTCCACTCAGCTTCTTTCGAAAAGAGCTTGCCATGCCGCACAAAGAGGGTGGAAGGTTGTCCACGTTTCCTAGGTAGGACTATGCTGGGGACAAACCCCAAAATATGAACAAAAACATGTGCTCCATGGACAAAGCCATGCCAACGCATCGACTCCTTTTGTGGTGGGGTGGCATGATGCTGGTCACTCTTGGAGTACCCCTTTTGGCCCTGTTTCAATGCGCGCTTAAATTAAACACAGTCATCCTTCAGCCCACATGGATTGAGTGCACGCTGGCCCCTGACATGTTTTTTGTTCGTACCGGTGTATACATACCACCATGAAGCATTGGAGAAGCCTATATGTGACAAAATGGCTGCGTTATCTGCGTTGCTCAAAGCCACAACTTCGAAAAAGACATAGGAGCCCCACAACAACGACACCCAAACCCATGGCGTATTGCCCTGCAAAAAACTACCGGACCTCAACAGCACAGGCCAGATCGCAGTGAGCACTACCAGACCTCAACGGCAAGCGTCAGATCTGGACCTCAACAGCAAGGTCCGGATCGCAATAGTGGGCACTCCCGGGCCTCCACACGAAGCGCAGGTAAATGTCAGCATACACGCCGTTAACAAGGACGTCAGAACACGATTCAAAAGATTACCCGACCTTTAAAATAGATGATGTGTCAGAGCACAAAGCAGACATGATGCCAGAACAAGCGGCAGAACACCGTGTCAACCCGCATCCGCCTTTGTCAGGCTAGCTGCCCTGCATTCTTCCAAATAGCCTTTCAGGGTGGGGATCACTCGTTTTTTAAATGTTTATAAATATTTTTCGGTGTGCTCACCATGTGGTGCTGGTCACCATCTGGCCCTGTGACCAGTGAGGAAGGCATCCAGTCAAGAAGGACGGTCAAAGTGGAAGTCATGGTCAATGGCACTCCCTTCCAGCGGAGCGATGGTGAGACAGTCACTTGGAAGAATTGAAACCACCACATTTTGTACGAACGGATGTCAGGTGTCGTTCGGGTGTCATGTGGGTGGTTCCCCTGTTCTTGACCCAGCGCCATGTCAGGCAAATTGTTTGAAAGGTTTATGGGATGAACGAATCACGGCCCCGCCAGATCAAAGTCAGGTTGTTCCGGTCGGAACGTCTTCAACCGTGAACCGATGTCGAGCTCGCCTTCTTTGGAAATCCGACGTGAAACCTGTGGATGGCTCCGCAGGTGCTGGAAGCAGGGATGGCTCCGGAGGTTGAGGTGCAAGCGCTCCTCACCGTTGATCCCATCATTTGCTGCAGTCGCGCAGAGTCTGGCTATGCATCGGAGGACCTGGTGGTGGTGAACATCCCACGGACGGTGACGTGCTGCGAGGGCTTGACCTACTGGGAGTAGCGTGGATGAATTTATCTTGGGAATGGTGAAGAAACAAGTAAGTATGTGTTTTTGTATAATAATAACATAATTGCAAAAATTGGTTCTGAAACACGAAGCTGGATGGCAAAAACAGAAAACACATATATATATCTGAGCGAATTATTGCGAGCTCACTTCGCGAGGTACGAGGTAGAATAATTTCAAAACAAAATTATGCGAGGTAAGTCCAGCACCAGGACTCCACCAAGCCAAGCAGCCTTCTTGACGTCTCAGGCCCTAGCCAGGCCTACTGGGTAAGGAACCTGTGCTGAGCAGCTCAAATAGGCAAGCCCCAAGAAACAATCCTATTTTGGCGAAATAGGACTTCACGATTGGGGATTGGTTTGCAGCCTTGTTGATGTTGTCTTAAGCCCTAGCCAGCCCCACTAGGTCAGGAAACTGTGCTGAACAGCTC